CCTCTCCCAGGACCAGCACTAGAATGTATAGTCACATGGTAGACCCTAGACAAGGATGGAATTCAGCTGCTTATTTACTATCAGCTGTCAAGCTCAGACTGCAGCTTACTGACCACTTATCAGATTCAGATTTGCATTTTTCTTACTTACGTAAACAGGGCCACAGTGGCAAAATTGACATTTGACAGTTCTGGCATGTGGGATTTTTTTCATGACTCTTGTTACTGCTGTAACCGTTCACACTGTAGGTTCAGTAGTAACGCTGCAAATTTAAATGTTAATCAACCATTTTTTTTTTTTCAGGGTATCGGCCTAATTATATATGCGATTACCATAGTAACTATTTAGGAACACTGTCACATCCAATTTGCGTCAGTGCTGCAATGTTCTGGGCTCAGGTTTGTTGCTGGTCACTTACAATTAGATCTGTAAGTAAATTATTGAAGGCCTCCACATTTTGTGTTACATTGTATAAATTAGCAAGCAAAGCAGCCAGTCAGGAAAAATGGCATCTCATTTGCCCAATGTTAGTTTTGTCCCAGTGTCGCCGCCTTTCACACAACCAATTTGGTGGTGACAATTATCTCCAGGGATGTCCCATTAGGCCCGAACTCTGTGTGACCTCCCCCCCCTTTACTGTGAGAGCATTCGCTGTATTATCAAAGCTCCTTGCTGGGGGAAGCGAATTCTCGTGGCTAGGGAATCCAACGGCGAGCTTGCCCATGAGCGCACAGTCATAACCTAATCCCAACTGAAGTTGCCATAGTAACAGTGTGACAATCCTGCCAAGTAAAAAGGTTCAACATCCAACATTTTACTACATTAAACAGAATCCATACGGAATCTGTGCTGGAGAATTTCAGGAAGACGTGAAAGTAAAACATGTCAGGGGGCAAAAAAAAAAAGTATACAAAATAAAGCGTGATGCAAAAGAAAAAAAAAAAATGAATTTTTTCCCAACTTTATACACATAGAAGGAAATTAACAAATGCTGCCATACACCTAAAAAAAGTATTTTTATAGGTCTAATTATTATTATTATTATACAGTAATTATAAAGTGACAATGGTTCGCTCAGCGCTGTACATTACAAAGGGGGACAGAACATGTGACAGAACAATACTAATACAATGCAAAACATGAGGGGATCGAGGGCCCTGCTCTTTCGAGCTTACAATCTAGGAGGGAGGGGATGGTGGCACAGGAGGAGATAGCTGTGGGGGATGGAGTGGTAGGAAGAGTGGAGGAGGTCAGCAAGTTAGCAGGGGGTGGGGTAGGCTTCCCTGAAGAGATGGGTTTTCAGGGTGCGCCTAAAAGGAGAGGAGAGTAGGTGATAATCTGATGGGTTGGGGCAGGGAGTTCCAGAGGATGGGTGACACCCTGGAGAAGTCCTGGAGGCGGGCATGGGAGGAGGAGACCAGGGAACTAGAGAGAAGGAGGTCTTGTGAGGAGCGGAGTGTGCGTGCTGGGCGGTACTTGGATATTAGGTCAGTGATGTAGTTCGGGGCAGTATGGTGGACGGCTTTGTACGTCAGTGTTAGGATTTTGAAATTGATCCGTTGCGCAATCGGAAGCCAGTGGAGGGATTGGAAGAGGGGGGTGGCGGAAATGGAGCGGTTGGAAAAAAATTAGCGCTTCCTGCAACAAATTAGTAAATATGGCTCATGTTAATTCATTAATTTGTTGCATGGTGCGCCAGATTTTCATATGTTTATTCTGATATGTGACAAAATTATAGTAAAAAAAAAAACCAAAAAAAAAAAAAACACCAAAACACCACATAAAAAAACCCAGAGGCAATCTTCCACTGGGATTGTCCTAAATATTTTCCTCTCTTGCTGGTTGCCCCTACACATCCCCTTGTTCTTCCTGTGGTGCCGATCATCACTACATCACTCCTCACTATTTATTTATTACAGATATAGTGCCGACAAATTAAACAGCACTTTACATATATCTTGTGTATCCACATCAGTCTCTGCCCTCAAGGAGTGTACAATCTAAGATCACCAACTCACATTCTAGGGCCAATTTGGACAGGAGCCAATTAACCTACCAGCATGTCTTTGAAGTGTTGAAGTGTGGGAAGAAACCAGAGTTTCCAGAGGAAACCCAGTCACAGGGAGAACATGCAAACTCCATGCAGGTAGTGCAGTGCTTGAAATTTGAACCAACAAACCTAGTGCTGCCAGGCAAAAGTTCCAACCATTAAGCCACTGTGCTGCCCACAGTATATACACACACCACTCTGGCAATGGTGTAGCTTTTAGAACCTTTTTTAAATTTGAACATTAGCACAGCTGCTTCTTTATTTTAGCACACACCAGAGCACTTGTAACGTGATTTTGTGCTGCTGGTACAACACATAGAACGTGTGTCATGGTATTGTTATGGTTCACAAAAAACATGGACTTAAAAGTAAGTAATTTGCTTTGATCATGCTGAAGGTGTACAAGCATGTTTCCGGAAATAACCATTAGTGCTCAAAATAAAACACACCCCTATCAGAAATTTGCAAAATGGCACCAACAACTTGGATTGGGAAAACTCGTTCACACAGTTCGGACAGTAAAAGAATGTACTAAACTGAATGGTCCAAATCATATTTTCTGGCTGGGGGCTATGCCTACGCAGTTTACAGTGTCTAAAGTGGTCTTCACAATTAGGACTTTGACTGCCCACTGTCCCAATGGCTTCTTCCACTGCCCAGTAAGAATGAGCCATGTTTGGGCCTCCCGCACGGATCCCAGTTCATCTCCGCTCCAGTCCTGGAGCTTTCATTCACTTAAACAAATCAGCTCCCATGCTTCTATCCTCACAGTCTCACTATAGCACTGGGGCTGCATAATAGGGGCCCCATGTACACAGATGACAATTCATTCTTTGCCCTATCAAAAGCAAATGGTCATGTTAAAATGGTTTTAAAAGTCTTACATACTGAATTGCCTGGCCTCAGGTGATCCACAGAGATGCAACAAATCCTCCTCCATACATACACACGCTGTACTTGTCTGTCTATCTGCACTTTTCTCTTCTCTAAAGACAGTCAAAGTGCTGAATTTATAAACCTTGTCTGAGAGTTCAGAAAAAAAAAAAAAAGGAAGGAGGCAGAAAGTTGAAATGACTCTCTACAGAGCTCAGTGAGGAGAGTTCTGAAAGCTGATTGGAGGGAATAAACAGACCCCCTCAATGCAGCTCACAGAAAAAGAGTGGAGGCTGTCACTCTGCTGGAGCTCCCATCCCTGTCACCATTTTACTCTGTCAGAAAAACTTGTCAGATGTGACTTATGCTGATAGCAGAGGAACAAAGCAGCAGACAGAAAAAATACTTAGTGCTCTTAAAGTGTTACCATTCATGTGACGTGATGACCAATCAAAAGTCCTCTAGCTGGAACTGTCATATCTGCCAATTGAGGAAAGGAAGAGGCGGGGGATTTCAAATCCCCATTGCTTTCTCTCCTCTCCTACCACGGAGACTCAGCATGGGATGCCTGGGTTTCCCGCACTGCTCTTGTGTGAACTCGGGCTATGACACAGGAGCAGTGGGGAAACCGCATGCGATTTGCACAGGAATCGCATTCCCAGTCAAATCCCATGCTAATCTTTGAGGTGCAATTTGCGTCCATTAACGCAAATCGCATCACAAAGTATCAGTTAAGATATCGGGAGTATTTTCACTCAGTATCGTATTGCTAGAGAGTAGGGATGCACCGATACTGGTATCCGTGCATCCCTACTCTCTAGCAATACGATACCGAGTGAAAATACTCCCGATATCTTGAGAGTAGGGAAACACAGATACCGGTATCGGTGCATCCCTACTCTCTGCACATGCTCAGTTTAGTGTGTATCGCTAGAGTGACTCCTAGACCTCTGTACTATCAGCAGATGGATTGGGACCAGTACAGGAAGGGGAGGATCAGAAAAGACGGGATCAAACTGCTTTTTTTTTTTTTTTTTTTTTTTTTTTTTTTTTTTTTTTACACAATGCAGAGGATTAACCCCTTAGGTTCCACAGTGAGTATAACAAGCATGCTTTACTGCATTTACAAACTGATTTTACTGATGTGGGTTTAGTAACACTTTGATTGAGACAAGTACACACTATAGAGGGATATGCTTTGTTCATGTCTGAGGTTCACAACCACTTTGATGTTGCTGTGCGAATGTCTGAATTGCTGCACCGAAGGTCTATGTCTATTCCGTCTTTGTGCATGGGGACATAACCTGGTTTACTATAGATGCACAGGGACATACCTTTAATTGTGATGTGTCTACTTTTCTGTATTCAATGCATGTAAACACAGGGTTGTGCGTGTAAAGCAGCAGACAAGTGCAATATGGGATCGATAAGTAGAGGTAAATACATAAACATGGTAGGGTTTGATTCCATTCTATAAAGCAAAATTAAAAGCTGTCCAAGAGCCAATTACTAGCGTATCCTCCATTGGGCGACATTTCCACTAGAAATCCTTGGACCATGGTTAAAGCGATAGCCCTACTTGTCCAGTAGCAGATGTCAGTGGCGAACAAAGGATCTTCTATTGTTTTATAGACAGGACACCAAAATCCAGCACTGTGGCTACAACCTGAATTGACTACATTTATAGGGCAGTGAGTTTATTGCAGACCAAAGTAGATACATTATACACACGTAGACGAGAACGTCTTCCATAACTAATCCTATTTCTGCACAGATGACAATCGTTGTGCCAGTCTCACATTGCCCTAATATGTGTTATTTTTTGCTGCTCGATTCACGTCATGCCGATCTGTCCTTCATTCTCACTGCTTCAGCAGCTTAGATGTATTTTTCACAGGAAAACAAGAGCAAAAGCCACCAGAGGTTTCTCAGTGAAGGCACAAATCCATGGGGGTGAGCAGCCTGCCAAATGTCACATGTGGATTGCATGTGAGCACTGAGAAAAACCTCGCACTGACTGAGGCATATTGCAGAATTTCACAGGCAAAAGAAGAAAACACAACTGAGATCGTCTTACCTGCTACTGCTGCTTTTTTTCGATTTGCTTTTCCTCTTCAAGCTATCCCTCTCTTTGCTATTGTAAGGCAACATGGAAGCATAACCATGCTCGGCTTCTGTGCACAGCAGAAGAGACATGACAAATTAGTGGGATGCTACATCAATTGTCTTCTCTACAACAACACTAGAATGACGGCACGACTGCTGGAGAAAAGCAACATCTGCAGGACAAGGTAGCTCAGGTTCCTTCCTCCAGGAGCAAAAAACATACAACATACACAGGTACAATGCTTGAAAATCTCAACATCCTTAAAGGAATAGCACACGGTAAAAAAACAAGGAAGGGAGGGTGGGAGGAGAACATCATTCAAACTTAGACATCCATGTATGACTTGAATTACAAGAAATAGATTAGGAGCCTAATAGGTTTATTAATCAACAGATGTCAGAAGAAAATTAAACAAAAAAAGGATTATTTTTATAGTAACGCTCCCCAACATATATGTGTTCTTCAAAGAATGATGAACCAAAACATTAAAGCTGGCCAGAGATGGATCAAATTCAGCAGGTTCCGCAAGGACTAGCCAAATTTCAGTCCACGTGTGTTCATGCCTGTTTGACAGAAATAGATCATTAGATTGACATTTGTCAAACGGACTTGCTAAAAAGGTTTTCCCAATCAGCCGGCTACAGATCACATTGCCACTGGAATTTAATACGACATGCAGTGTTGGACATGCCACCTGTCAAACTCTCTTGTAGGTGAATGGGACAATGGCATATCTACAGGGCAAATGGTTGATTTTCATAGGTCCTGCAATGCAATATCGCTATTCCCCAGCATCTGGAGATGCCTGTACACCTCAGATTTCTTTTTAGGAAGGGGGGCAGTAAAAAGAGAACCACGATTGGACTCAAAAGGTCAATCCTGCAAGAGAATAGGTAGAATACTCAACTCTCTGGTGGCCCATGGCTCCTACCACTCCTCTGTTCCTCCAGCCCCTTATGTTAAGGCACTATGATGCACCTCGTAGTGTCTTAGGGGGCTGAAGGATGGAAGGAACCACAGTACACACACATTTCACACCCATGGAAGTGTCCAATGTCAACAAGGCTGAAAGGGGCTGCAGCATTGGAATAGAGGTGTCCTAGAAAGGACTGGCCATCAGAGAGGAGAGTATAAACATTCGCCTTTTGATTCAGGATTACCCCAAATTAGTCTCACCATGCATACTTTTCAAGAATCCGAATGTGCAGCATAGAGGCTGAACACGTCAGAATTCACGTACCCTCTGGAAAAAGCAAAGATTGATCAGATCAAGTAAAAAAAGTGGCCAAATCTATACCTTTAGAACACTGATTTTTCAGAACCTTGCACAAACCTAGCTTTGGCTGGCATTTTTTATTGAAGCATGCAATCCAATATCCTAGCACAACTGGTGCTAACAAATCTTGGAAGTTTGCTGAACAATCTTAACACAACCTGTGGGATCAGGCTGCAACTGGTAATCAAATTGGCAGGGAACGTGAAAAGTGCAAACACGACTGAGGTTGTGCCATATGTGCTTTAATATGAAAGTGCCCATAGGTGTACACCACAGCCAGTTCTGCCACACTCTGTACATACATATTGCTGACCAACCAGTAAAGAGCAGATCAAGTCACGTTTCTCCAATCAAGAAGTCTATGGGCTTCCAATGAGAGACACTCCTAATGGCAAAAACTTATCAGATAGGGCTGATTTTGGGCCAGTGCTCTATTGCTCCCCCTACAAAAGGCACCAATGTCACTTGCAATTCACACAGACATACTGTATTAGGTTTCACATTATATAGGTATTTTCTTGTTCTGTTATAAATAATTTTTTTGAGCGTTCATTATCTGTAAACACATGACCACCATCTATCAATCACAAGCACAGATGCCAATTAAGCTACCTACACACTAGCAGTGTTAAGTTGCTTCATTGTGTGGTCAAGGATCTGCCATGAATGACTACAGTACCATGTGTAGCCGGCCACTGGTACTGCTAAAAAAAAAATAAAACATCCAGAACAACCTCTCTCAATCTTTTTATCACAGAGGAACCCTCAAAATAGTTTTCAGACCTTAAAAGGGACCCTCCTAGCAGGACGTTGACAGTAAGTTGATCTAGAAAAATAATAATAAGCAAAGAGCCAATTTGATACCCAGACCTGTTCTAGAAGACAAAAATTATTTCCTGTAACAATATTTGTTACATTGATGGCCAGCGGAAGAAGCGCTCCATTACATTCTGCTACCAGAAAGCCCACCTTGATAACAGCGAATAAGATCACTGGTGTCAGGGTTTAATTAAGAGGCAGAAATTGTTAATTGTTCATGGAACCCTGGCTGAGAATAGCTGATCTAGAAGGAACCCGTAAACATGGTAAGCCTATACAAATTCCACATATAACTGGAAGAAAACCCAAACTCCAGTGCTGCAAGGCCTCAGTGCTAACCCCTGCACTACTATACCATATAGGCATATTAACTGCTGCAATCATTCTGCTCAATGCTATTGTAAATAAACAGAAAAGGAAATATTTTTTTACAGATCAAGCTAAACTGCAAAATAAACTATTCATACGGTAAAAATCAACATTGACCTTCTACCATGAGCTTTACACACCAGTGCTAGACCAGAAGACATTTCATGGAAGGTACATACATTTACTATAAAACTACACTAAATACTAGTTAAAGATGTTACATGGTAAAAGGATTTCAGTCCAACATTGCTTTCATTTAAAGAATACATCTAACTGCATTCATAAAATTTGTCTGGAATTAAAATAAAAAGCAAAAACGTCAAAGAAATGTAAATCTGAAATTGAAACAAAAACAAAAGTAAAAAAAAAAAAAAAAAAAAAAAAGAAGACGCAGCAACTGCAGTAAGAACGCTTCATTCAATTTCTACATACACAAAACAAAAACACCTTTTTTTTTTTTCTGACAGCACTTCCCCCTCCCCCACTGAAATCTGCTCTATTGACCACAAGTAACACACACAATAATTGTCTAGGTGTGTATACAGCCGATGTATCCCAGACTGCAGACCCCTGCCATCTCTTAGGAGGTCACACAATATTTGGCCCCAGCATTTTTTGAAATGCAAATGATGCCTATTTTTAGCTGGAGCTTCTATTCCTCCATGGTGGTAGCACTCTGAGAGCCCATGCAGAAAGGCAGGCTCCATTTTCATCCACCACATTGCTGCATGACGTGAATTATTCAATATATTAGCATAATAATAGGCTCCCAATCCAAAAGGAAAAAAATATTTTCGGAATAATTAACAACTATTATTGAGATGCTGCTCAGTAATTACTGCTTTCACTATTACACAAGCCTTCTGCATCGCCTTTCACTCATGAAGACATGTGTAGGGTTGCATTAGCCCTGGCTGGACATATGTTTATTTTGCAAGAATTAGCTGACAGTTCTCCTGCAATTTCAGCCGGATTTAAAAAAAACTCACAAAACACGAGTGATGGTGTGCTGTGACATGCAGTTGATGTGACCGAGGACGCTGGAATCTCACATGAATCACAGGAGGCCTATGGATGTGATGAGCTGTAGTAATAATCATCATCATCATAATAATACTACATGTAGATCTGATTATACAGCTGTGTACATATGATCACTCAGCACATGTACACTGACACGTCACAGGCTAGATTTTATTAACAAGAACTATAAATAAAGTCTCTCGGCCACATACATCTAACATCACATGCACATCAGCCACGCATGGCCACATGCACCCCTGACAGGTTTCCATCCATACTGTCAGTCATTGTCAGAGGCAAGGCTCACAACACATGGAGGTAATGCTTGTATGAGGAAACGCACACAACCCCTCCACATTGCGACAGAACGCATACCCCCACCGACACACGGCGACAGAACGCATACCCCACCGACACACGGCGACAGAACGCATACCCCCACCGACACACGGCGACAGAACGCATACCCCCACCGACACACGGCGACAGAACGCATACCCCCACCGACACACGGCGACAGAACGCATACCCCCACCGACGACACACGGCGACAGAACGCTCACCCCCCACACGACACATAACGCATACCCCCACCGACACACGGCGACAGAACGCTCACTCCCACCGACACACGGCGACAGAGCGCATACCCCCACCGACACACGGCGACAGAACGCTCACCCCACCGACACACGGCGACAGAACGCATACCCCCACCGACACACGGCGACAGAACGCATACCCCCACCGACACACGGCGACAGAACGCATACCCCCACCGACACACGGTGACAGAACGCTCACCCCCACCGACACATAACGCATACCCCCACCGACACACGGCGACAGAACGCTCACCCCACCGACACACGGCGACAGAGCGCATACCCCCACCGACACACGGCGACAGAACGCTCACCCCACCGACACACGGCGACAGAACGCTCACCCCACCGACACACGGCGACAGAACGCTCACCCCACCGACACACGGCGACAGAACGCTCACCCCACCGACACACGGCGACAGAACGCTCACCCCACCGACACACGGCGACAGAACGCTCACCCCACCGACACACGGCGACAGAACGCTCACCCCCACCGACACACGGCAGAACGCTCCACGCGACAGAAGCTCACCCCACCGACACACGGCGACAGAAACGCTCACCCCACCGACACACGGCGACAGAACGCTCACCCCACCGACACACGGCGACAGAACGCTCACCCCCACCGACACACGGCGACAGAACGCTCACCCCACCGACACACGGCGACAGAAACGCTCACCCCACCGACACACGGCGACAGAACGCTCACCCCACCGACACACGGCGACAGAACGCTCACCCCACCGACACACGGCGACAGAACGCATACCCCACCCCACGACACACGCGACAGAACGCTCACGACACACGGCGACAGAACGCATACCCCCACCGACACACGGCGACAGAACGCATACCCCCACCGACACACAGGTGGCGACAGAACGCTCACCCCCACCGACACATAAGAACGCATACCCCCCGACCGACACACGGCGACAGAACGCTCACCCCACCGACACACGGCGACAGAGCGCATACCCCCACCGACACACGGCGACAGAACGCTCACCCCACCGACACACGGCGACAGAACGCTCACCCCACCGACACACGGCGACAGAACGCTCACCCCACCGACACACGGCGACAGAACGCTCACCCCCCACCGACACACGGCGACAGAACGCTCACCCCACCGACACACGGCGACAGAACGCTCACCCCACCGACACACGGCGACAGAACGCTCACCCCACCGACACACGGCGACAGAACGCTCACCCCACCGACACACGGCGACAGAACGCTCACCCCACCGACACACGGCGACAGAACGCTCACCCCACCGACACACGGCGACAGAACGCTCACCCCACCGACACACGGCGACAGAACGCTCACCCCACCGACACACGGCGACAGAACGCATACCTCCCCCCCTCCACATGAGAACACATACCTCCGATACATAACAGAATGTATGCCTCTGATACAGATGATAGAACGCATACATCCGGCACAAGACAATAGAATGCATAGCCCCCCTTCACAGGATGATAGAATGTATACCTCCGATACATGATGATAGAACACATACCTCAGAAACAAGACGATAGAACGCATACCCCCTCCACATGATTTTAGAATGTATACTTCCAATACATAATTAAAGAACACATACCTCTGTCACATGACAATATAACACACACCTGCAACCAATTACAATATAACACATACATCTACCACAATGACATACACGTACCTCCAACATGAGACGATATGTCATCATGTGTCAGAAATATACACTATATCGTCATATGTCCACATTATGTGTTAGGTCGTCATGTGTTGAACGTATGCATTATAACACTCGCCTCCAACATAGGATGGCATAACATGTACCTCAACATATGATGACATAATGCATAACTCTGGCACATGACGATATAACACATACTTCCAACACATCATGGTATACACATACCTCTGCCACATGACAACACACACCTGCAACAATGACATACACATACTTCTGAGACAACACATACCTGCAAACACATAACAATAAAACACATACATCTGACACAATGACACGCACATACCTCCGACACCACACGTATGTCATCACATGTTGGAAATATGCATTATATTTTCATATGTCGGAGGTACGCGTTATATCATCATGTGTTGGAAATATGCATTAGATCTTCAAATGTCGGAGGTACACGTCATATCATCATGTGTTGGAAATATGCATTATATTTTCATGTCGGAGGTACGCGTCATATCCTAGATTGTAAGCTCGAAAGAGTAGGGCCCTCTTACCCCTTGTGTGCTGTTTGATGTTACTGTTCTGTTTCATGTATTGTCCCCCTCTATTGTACAGCGCTGAGCAAACCCTTTGGCGCTATATAAACTCGATAAATAAATAAAATAAATCATCATGTGTTGGAAATATGCATTAGATCTTCATATGTCGGAGGTACACGTCATATCATCATGTGTTGGAAATATGCATTAGATCTTCATATGTCGGAGGTACACGTCATATCATCATGTGTTGGAAATATGCATTAGATCTTCATATGTCGGAGGTACACGTCATATCATCATGTGTTGGAAATATGCATTAGATTTTCATATGTCGGAGGTACGTGGTATATCATCATGTGTTGGAAATATGCATTATAACACATATCTCTGACATAATGCATACCTCCAACATATGACAACATAACATGTACCTCTGACATATGACAATATAAACACATACTTCCAACACATCATGTTATACACGTACTTGTTACACATACCTCCGACACACAACCAAATACCACATACCTCCGACACAACATATCTCAGCAGCACCTACACATGATGTACTCACTAGGCATGTATACACACGTATGATGTGTACATCACAAGTCTCCATTCACAAATCCTGTACATAGACAGATTTGTAGGCAGCTCTTTCTTTCACCATCTATGTATGTATACTAGTCTGGATGTGTACACCCTGCTTGATATACAAAGGGAGCACATTGTGTGTGATTAGAGGGGAGTGTGTGTGTGTATATACACATACATACACACACGTACATACATATATATACACACACACACACTTTTTTTTTACATATAATAGACTATATATATAAAAAATATACATACATGCGATATATTTCTGACATGTGATATATATTTGTTAGGACACTGATAATATATCGACCACACAGAACACTCAGAGGGTTTATTGTGTATAGACTTTGTATAGAGAACGCAGACATCCTGGGGGAGGGGGTTGGTGTTTCGGTTTGCTCGGACTGACAATAACGGTCACAGGTCAGGCAGGTGTGAGGCCTCCATGCAGGGAAGCACTACAAGTCCCAGCAGTCAGTGCTCTCCATGTTGATCCTTATAGTCCCCCCCTCCCCCAGCAGTGACACACACACATACAGCCCCCGGATGACGTCCACAGATCCCCCGCTCACCTCTCTCCCTCCGCTCCAGATACTCCGCCGCCTCCAGCAGCATCTGGATGTTGACACAGACCGAGGTCGCCATTTTCCAGCACCGAGGAGGAGGAGAGAGGGAGTGGTGGTGGCAGGGCACGATGTACCGGCGGAGGTGATGGAGCAGAATACTGACGGACGGGGAGGCGTTCCGTGTGTGCGGCGAGCTTGGCGCTCCGTGACTTCACCGTGTCCCGCTGTCTCACTGACCGGACTCTACCGGAGGAGGGGAAGCGCTGGGATTGTTGTTTATCGGCTCCTGTAAGCGACGCCCCTTTCTCGCCTGCACCGACACGCCCACTGGCACAGTGGCGGCCACAGATTGGCGACTCTGCAGCGGCACGAAGTCCGCCCGCGAGGCCTCATTGGCTCAGCCTCTAGATGGGGCAGGCCAATAACAGCGTCGCGAAGGGAGGCAGGTACAGCTGTCAACACGGGCCGGCAGTGATTGGGCTACTGCTTTGACAGGGCTACACCCAGGGGTGCAGAAGCTACGCCCATTCGCATCCTCGCACATGATTGGCACACTTCGGGAAATGTGTGCCAGCCATGGAGGTAGTGACGTCATCGGACCCAATGTGTCTCTCTGCCAGGCTCCTGTGCATGGAGCTGTGCACGGCCAGGGGACTGACCTCCCATAGTCAGATATCGGATTGCTGCAATCAGAGCCATGCATGTGGCAGGTGAGCTCTGACAACAAATCCTGCGTGCACGTGCAGGGACATCGGCCTCAGAACTCTGGAGAACATCACAGTCCTACAGAGGAGAGACCACTTCACCCCGATCATCAATGACTGGGCTCACAGGGTGCTATGACTGCCCGGACGCACACAAACACCCAGCTAATATGGATAATGACGTCATTCATATATATATATAATATAAAATATATTTGTAGATAAGGTTTGGCATCTGCCTGCTCTCAGATCCCTCCATTCCATTGCCTGCGATGGGCTCTGTGCTGCTCTGCTGCAGGCATAGGGAAGGAGGGGATGACGTCACCGCTGGCATGCTCCTGTCACTCGCAGCAGGGACCCCTCTTGTCAGTGACGTCGCCCCGGCATTGTCTCTGGAAATAGAACGGCATTACGTAATGTGGTTGGGCCGGGTAGATCACGTGAGCGGGGGGCTTGTCATCCGGGGCCACGTGACTGGGAACGTGGAACTGCTGCAGTGCAAAAATCAGCGAAAACAACGGCGTCATCCGGCTGGTCACGTGACCGCAGAGCCAGGCGTGCTACATATACATACATGATGTGTGTGCATGGGGCTCCCTTCCACTGTGATTGTGATGGCGGGGTGAGCTCTCTGTTCTAGATCTGATGGGAAGGGAGAAGACATTTCTCCGCTCTCTCAGCCAATAGCAGCAACGTCAGCTTCCAAGAAGATGCCGAAGTACTCCCTCCTCCTCCTCATCTACACACAGGACCACTTCACACCATAACACGTGCCTGCATGGTGTCTGACATCCCTTTCATTTCAATGAGCTGCCAAGTGCGCAGAAACGCTGATGCAAGGTTAAGGGCCAGTTCACATTGTATGCGTTTCAGTTGCTTTTTTTCTGCATCCAAAATGCACAGAAAGTAGGTTATATGGTGGTCAATGTTATAGTTCACATCAGTGCTTTTAAAGCGGAGCTGCACCCAAAAGGGGAAGTTCCGCTTTAAGGACTGCTTCCCCACTCCCCATTAAGGATTGGCACCTTTGGGGGGGCAGAGGGGAGCGGGTACCCGAATCTGACAGGTACCCGCTCCCACTTCCGGTCCGACCACCTAGGCGATCGGAAGCGGAAGGTGTCCTCCCTCCCTGTAGTCTTTTGGGACATGTGACAGGTCCCAGAAGACTACAGGACCATTCAGGAAGCGCAGTGCTACTCACGCATGCGCAGTGGGTACCCGGCTGTGAAGCTGCACAGCCAGGTGCCCACACTGAAGATGCCAGCCTCCTGGAATACAGGATGGCCGGTGAAACGGGCTGCGGGGGACACACCACGGGACTGAGGGATAGGTAAGTGGCTGTTTTTTAAAAGTCAGCAGCTACAGTTTTTGTAGCTGCTGACTTTTATTTTTTGATAAGTCGAGTGGAACTCCGCTTTAATGTATTGCAATGGCCCTGGTTCACACCAGTGCAGTCAGTTTATGGTGCAGAAAGAAAACAGATTGCATTTTTCCTGCACAAAACTGTACTGGAATGCGGTAAAATGCACATGTCCCTATTTAAATTGAAGAAAAAGGGGAAAAAATGATCTGGAGCACATAAAAAAATGCACTGGAATGTGTCAAAACAGCATGGAACGCACCAAAATGCATCAAAAACACGCATGCAGAGATGCATCCGTAACGTATCTGCGCTGCGTTTCTATAGTGTGAACCGCCCGTAAGTGCTAGTTCACACTAGATGCAGTCCAGAGCAGTTTTTTTTCTGTATTAAAAATGCATGCACAACGCTTTCCATGTATTCCAATGGCCCTAGTTCACAGCAGTGCAGTCAGTTTATGGTGCAGAAAAAAAAGAACATACTGCATTTTTCTTGCACAAAACTGTACTGGAACGTGGTAAAATGCACATGCCCCTATTTAAATTGAAGAAAAGGGGGAAAAATGAACTGGAAATGCATAAAAAACGCACAGAATGCATCAAAAATGCACATGCAGAAACGCATCCGGAATGCATCTGGACTGCGTTTCTATAGTGTGAGCCAGCTGTAAGGACTAGTTCACATTAGATGCAGTGGAGCGCAATTTTTTTTTGCATCAAAAATGCATGCACAGTGTTTTCCATGTATTCCAATGGCCCTAGTTCACACCAGTGCAGTCAGTTTCTGTTGCAGAAAGAAAAGAACAGGCTACAATTTTCCTGCACAGAACTGTACTGGCACACGGTAAAATACACTGGAACACACATGACCCTATTTAAATTGAAGAAAAAGGGGGAAAAATGATCTGAAACACATAACAAAATGCACCTGAACGTGTCAAAACAGCATGGAACGCACCAAAATGCATCAAAAACGCACATGCAGAGACGCATCTGGAATGTATATGAACATGCTGCATTTTTTCTGCAGAGAACTGTAATGGAACATAGCAAACTGCATTAAAACTGCACTGGAATGGAGTGTGATGTGAACTGTAAGCAAAAACACATCCGGAGTGCATTTTTGTAGAGTGAACTGGCCCTAAGCCTAGGTTCACATCGGTGCATTTTCTGCAGGGCGCATCTGCACCAGGTACTGTAGACCTTCCATTTGTATGGGATGCTGTACCTGCAGGAAACACAGCGAAAATGCACCACATCCCTTTGCAGAAGCCGCAGCCACTCGGAAACGCATTTCTGTACACAGGAAATTGTGTTGCATATCCCAATGCTTGGGGGGTCCAATTAAGAATTAACAGCACCCCCATATGTCTGCTAAACAGCAGTGCGTCTTGGCTGTGGGTGCAGGAACGTATGTGATTTACATGCATTCCTGCACCCACAATAGTGTGAACCTAGCCTTAGGTGGAGAGACGTCAGTTTTTCTGCATGCGTTCTGCGGGGACACAAAATCAATTGTTCTCTGTGTGCCCTGTTCACACCACAACACTAGTATCACATGCAGATTTTTTTTCTGCGCAGGAATCTGCAATGTGTACAAAAGTCACTAAGACGCACATGAAAACTGATGTCTCTGCGAGTGAAATCTTTGCGTCAGTTTCCATCAGTTTTTCTGCATGTATGGTGTGAACGAGGCTTTAAGGTGGGACTAAAGGCCAATTGACACCAGTGCATTGATCTGCGTTTTAGCACAGCTGTAAAACACAGATCAGTGGAAGAACATCAACATGTATGCATTTTAATGCAGCGGATGTCAACACAATGCACAGGATATCCTGTGAAAATGCAGTACGCTTTAACTCACACTAAAATGCATGGCAATAGAGGTAAACAATTTATGTCAACGGATGTCAGCAGGTGACTAAAATGGATGGAAATGTACATTCATTTTCTAGACGATTTAGTGAAAGCGTGAATTGGCCCTTACCCAAGGTTGCCACCTAAGCATTTTTTGCAGCATTTTGCAGAAACGCACTACAGTCCATTTAACATGATTTCTTATGGGTCCGGGTTTTCACCCGGTGCGTTTTTTGTAAAGGCTCAGGGACTCTTTAGAACACAAAAAGTTGCATTGCATTAACTTCAATGGAAACGGTGCAGAAAACATGTAGTGCGTTTCTGATGTGTTTTGCGTTTTAAATCTGCCTAGCAACAACAACAAAAAATAATAAAAAACACAAAATGTGGCAAAACCGCATGTGCAAAAAGAACGCAAACACACTGCAGAAACAGATCAAATGCAAACTGCATAGGTGTGAACATAGCCTTAATCTATCAATTTAACAGTTTAAAAAAAAAATGCAGTACAGTTACATTGCATCCATGCCAGGAAGCACGGTGGATAAGTGGTTAGCACTTCTGCCTGGAAGCACTGGAGTTGTCAGTTCACATCCCAGACACGGCACTACCTGTCTGGAGTTTGCATGTTCTCCCTGTGCCTATGTGGATTTCCTACTCTGGTTTCCTCCCACACTCCAAAGACATGCTGGTAGGTTAATTGGCTCCTGTCTAAATAGGCCAGAGGTCTCCAAACTGCAGCCTGGGGGGCAGACGTGGCCCTTTGCTTGTCTTTATCTGGCTCTTGGGGCACTATTCCTCCCACTGACACTAACAATGGCTCTATGTCAGGCATGTCCAAAGTCCGGCCCGCGGGCCATTTACGGCCCGGGGGTCGGTTTAATACGGCCCTCCAACAGCCCTCCCTGCTCTGTGTAATGTGGCCCTCCCACGGCCCTCCCTTCTATGGCAGACAGTCTTCTGCTTGAGAGCAGAGGGCAGTGCGCATGCCTGACTGCGGCGCGTTCTCCCTGGTCTGTGTAAATGCGGCTGTCGCACGGCCCTCCCTTCTGTGGCAGACAGTCTTCTGCTTGAGAGCAGTGCGCATGCGTGACTGCGCCGCGCTGGGAGCGACAGAGGGCGGTGACGTCAGGGCCGGGCTTCCAGCATGAAGTGTGTTTCTCTTCCCCTCCCGGCTGCCGAGTAGAGACTTCAGCTCCAGCTACCTTTTTCACCCTTCACATTAGTGCAGGTAAGTTTTTTTTAAATTTATTTTCAATACATTGTGAAAACTCAGCTGACAGTTGAT